TAACTAACTAACACACACACACACACACACACACACACACACACACACACACACACACACACACACACACACTCCTATTTTTTTTTCGTATTTATTGCCATATATGAATATCTTTTTGCATTCATATTAAAATAATTTTTTTAAATTCCCTGTTTTATCTTGCATTAAAGGCACATGTGTATTAAACTTGCATGTATTTTCTAGAAAAAAATGGATTTTATGATAGTTTGTTATATTTGACTAATTCTTATCAAATATGCATAACAGCATAAATTAATATTTTAATAGCACGACGTAAGGAAAAATTTACATGATTTCTAACGTGTCATAATAAGAAAACTTAAGAAAATTGAAGTTGTAGCAACTGCATATAATCGTTGCATATAAACATTGTTGCATAGAGATGCTATGCGGAATTGACGGTATTATGACATTACGTTGCCGAGCATAAGTGTATGTCTCACAAAGAAGAGCAAAAGTATCGGGAGCAATTAATCGCAAAGATGCAACAACTCTCGATCGGCATTACACGCGAGATATTACGCGAATCATTACGCCGTATCCATATAAAAATTAATGTAGAAAGTGAATGAAAGTGATTTTACCAATCATTACCATTAATTTAACGAATATATTAATAAAAAAAAATAGAATGAAGACTTTAACAATATAAATTATGACCTCTAAAAATGGAAGAGAACCGTTCGTGGGGATTGATAGCCGGCAGATTCCGCTAACCCGGAAACATCTCCGTTCGGTAGTTATAATCCAAACGCGCATTACGTCTACCTAATTGCCACCGTGCTAATCATCATCATCATCATCACGAAAACGATGTTGTTTTAACAACGCTCTATGTAGCGTTGCGCTGTTATACCGGATTGTTTATTAACTCGCACGTGTTTACCACGCGCGCCTACCTGCTGAGAACCATTCTGAGAGAATCCCTGTATATGCGTGTACGTAGAATTGACGAGCGGTTTCGTCTCTCTTTGCAGAGACGCGCTACGGCGCTACGGCGCATCTCGGGGCATTCTCGTAACAGCGTGGCCAATCGCATACCGGGGCATACGTATAAGGAACCCGGCGTCGCGAAAAAAGGGGATCGGGCAGCCTCCTCGCGCGTGATACGTCAATTTATCTGCCGGCAGCTAAAATCGCGCGCTATCGTTGCGCGATACGTAATATTTATTCCTCCGTGACGAGTATCCGCGCACGCAATCGCAGATACGAAATATCTTTGTCCCCCTCCCCCCCCCCTCCATATACATAGATTAGGCAAATTTTATAATGTTTCGCTCGAACCCAGGGAACCGCGGCGTGTGTTCTTACAGCAGCGTTTACGGCTGATTTCACAGACGCGGTTGAGTTGCACCACTTCAACATAACATTGACAACAAGCGGCGATGCGATTCTGCCTAACAAATGAAGCGCCGAGGATAAGGTAGGTCATCGCAGATCCTGAACCAGGCTCTCTCAAAAGAGCTGGCTGGAATCAATACACTTTGCCGAGAAATGTTGCTTAGCCATCTCTGGAAACAACCGTCCCCGGTATAGCGCTTACTCAACGTATAATGTTGAAATGAATATTGAATAATACTAATGATATAGATTGAATGATGTTGAATAATGTTGCCGATGTTATCTTGCATACAATACTGAGTATCGAAACATTATTCATATATGAAATAATTTGGTAAGAATCGAAGAATAAGATATCTGGGCCACTCGCTTTACCATTCAATTCCTACTATTACATCTGCAATCATCGTTCGCAATTTTTTACGATTATTTATGTCATTATTTTTTGTAATAATACCCAAGTTAATATTCGAAGTATGATATCTTCATTTACGCAAAAAATGATTTTGCTAAAATATTTAACAATTTGGCCAAATACAGATCTGGAAGTAATCTTGTCGAGTTATCAAAAATAATTATGAGGCTGCAAATTTTTTTTATATTTTTATATTATAACAATACAAACGTTTTGCATAATTATCTGAGAGTAATCCAACGATATCTTTTCAAATCTGCAATCTAACTAAATTTTCAGATACTTCAGCAAAATTTTTTTTTTTTTCGTGCGTGTGTTAACAGGGCTATTGATCTAAGAGTCTTTTCAAGTAATCATCTCACATCAACAAAATCACTGGATCTATCAGAAACCACACATATATTGCGTACCGTGTCGATCTATTTCGCGAAAATGTGTCGCGAAAATTAGTCGCGAAAAAACGCCGTATTGAGACGTCACTCGATCGCGCGACTCGGGCAACGTCGAATTATCCGTAAATTTGTTAAACGTTTACATAAGTTGTTTGCCAGTTCGAGATTTATGTGAGCCGCCTCTACATCCTCCAACGGGATCTCCGGGCGGCATCTCTCTCGCGATCTTAAACGTCGGGGGACGCGCGCCGACGGTACGCCGAATAGATTGGATTTATATCTCACTCGTCCTTACGTCTCGCGCGTCTCTCCGCCGACACTTGGTCCGATTACCGGCAGGCGTATTTCTTCACATCCACCTTTCATTCGTAACTACAAACTCGGTAATTGGTTCGATACACTTCGGGTCCGAAGATGAGATCAGCGCCGCTCCGCGCGTTTGAAGCGCCTTTTTTCTTTTTTTTTCTTTTCTTTTTTTTTATTCGATCAGACGGTTCGAAAGTGCGGCGCGCGTCGTATGTTGTTTCGAAGGCCGTCTTCGAGATCGAGCCATGCCGTGGAGGAGGAGGGAGGGGGGAGGGGGGGAGGGGGAGAGGGAGGGAAGGAGGACCACGGATCTCCCGCGGACGGGAAAATGTGTCGAGGAGCCCGCCGCCGGCAGATGCACCGGCATCGAATTTTCCTAGAGCTGCCTCCGATGCCGCGGCATGTGCAATCGCATTCTTACTCGCGCGTGCAACGCGTCGGGTACGCTTCGCCGCCACGTGCCTGAGATTCTTTTTATCGCACACGAAGATGTGCGAAAAAAATCGCGTCCGCGCCGACGGAGGCCGATTGCCCAATAATCCGACGCGATGATTCGCGATAGTTTTGAGAAGCTCGCTCTCGCCTCGGCACGAAAATGTTTTTTTTTTTTTTCGGCCTATCACCTTCTGACAAGTCAATTTAATTATCCTTTCGAGTCTATCCGTTTCGCAGATGCGTAATGTAACGCGTGAAAGCCTAAGGAAATCTCGCATGCTCGCACTATATAAATTTTATTTTGAGCAAATGTATATGGATATTTTCGCCGAGAAATTATGCCTGATAGAATTATGCCGCGTCATCGATAAATTACTATGGAAATTTGAACGATCGATTCTTCGCTCTTGGAATAGATGGCTTTAGCCGAGGATACGTATCTCTAATTTTTTCTTTCTTCTTTATGTCAATAGGAACGTTAATGTTACGCTTTAATTCTCTATATATACAATAATGTCCATGCAAAATTCTTATTCTATTCTGTGTAAGGAAAACGCTCGAATAATTATAATTGCAAATTTAAAATATGTCACACCTTTCACTATTCTATCACTTCTCTTTCGCCAAACTATCGATTCCAATCAATCAATCAACGTAACACATGTATATTTAACATCCAAATAACACAACATTTTTAAATACTTATGTTATAATTAAAATAAAAAATACAATTAAATACACATTATACTCATACATAACAGTCATAATAGGATTTTCTCTAAACTTTAGATATATTTTAGCTTTCTTCAATCGCAAGGAATTAATTCGATACAGACTCACTCAAACAATCATTTTCCAGACTATCGTTTTAAGATGGATCCGTTCTCTGCAGCGGAGATTTTTTTTATTTTGGTATTCGTTCGCACTAACGCGACGACTCGATCAGATTTTTTTTCAACACTTACCCTCTACATGTCTCGGAAATCGATTTCTACGCGATGTTGTTCCCGGATGCAAGTGTGTTTCACCCGTATGAGATGACCCGATCGAGAAACCCAAGTCACGT